CCCCAAAACCCCAAAACCCCAAAACCCCTTAGTCAGTTATTTCTATTGAAGAATAAAGATTATAAGAGTTAATATATGAGATAATTCTCAAATATAAATAACTTTGTAGACTTCTAACTCTACAACTTTAAAGAAGAAAGACCCTGCCAAATATTCTTTAGTCTTCTCTTCTCCCTAATTATATCCATCTGGAGGTAAGTAGGTCTATCCCAAATTAGAATAGCTTGTTGCATTCTTATCACAGTCACTTGTAATAATAATATCACAGCCCATTCCAAAGAATACAAGACTATCTGAGAAATGGCAAACACCCATCTCCTTATTTTGATACAGGGAGTGTTTTGTTTTCTTATTGACTTAGAATATGAATGCCTTTTCATCAGCAGAGAAAGTATTATTACTGTTCCATGAGACTGATGTGAATCCTCCGAAAACTTCATTTTTGTCACTTTTAATTAAGCATAAGGTTGGGCCTTGCTTATCACAAATTTAATGGAATTTTTTGGAATCAAATCCATCTCTAGTACCTCGATATATAAGATCAAAATCAACTCTTTCCCCTATCCAATCACCAATAAGCTGTATTGAATCTTCATCAAGTCCGAATGTCTCCTTTGAGTATTCAAAGAATTCCTCCTATTTCTTTATGGGATCTTCAACTTCATTTTACAATGGATCATCAAATATTCTAACATTATTAGAGGCTGCAGCATTATCTTCTTCAAGACTTTCATCCCCATTGTCATTTTCTAGCACCTCATACACATATTCCTCTACCTCCTTCTTCTTATCACTTTTAGTTTGTCTTCTTCCCATCTCTGGACTTGAACTGCTCATGCGTCTAGAAATCGTGCTTTATCTATTAGCCCCCAAAGTATTTTTTCTTTCATTTCCACTTCTTTACGACGTCTAGTCGTTGTTTGAAGCTGCATGCTAGTCTAGCATATTTTGCACTTCATTTTCTTCTTCCTCTTCTTAATAAAGAAAGTCTATGTTATTTTGCTCTTCCTCACTTTTAATATACTGCCCAGCTAGTATGTCCTTGACTTCATTTACAAAGTTCACAAATTGCTATGAATTGAATGCTTGTTTGCACCTTTTTAGCTTTGATGCAATCTTACTGGCTTCACTGATGCGATTGGTAAATGACTACAGATGAGTAATGATTGTTTCACAATATATCTCCAGGTCCTCTCTTTGTATTTTTACTAATTGTATATTCGAGGTGTTATTACTTTTTAATTATTCAACACACTGATCACAGATAAAGGTATCATGCTTAGAGTAGAGGAAGTCTGCCTGATTATTTGGATGAGAGTCGCAGAATATGCCCAAGGAGTCTTATGAGTTATAATTTCTTCTGATGATCTTAAGATTTTCTTTGTACTTATGATTAATTGTTAAAACTTCATTGTCTAATGGGCACTGTAACTTACTGCTTCCTTGCTTATTCCCCTCAGAGTTAGATTGCAATAGCTCATCATAACAGGTCAAGCATATTCCATCTCCGCATGGTAAAATGACTAGATGCCTCTCAACTTAATTGAAGATTGAGAAGCAGCGAGGACACATTGATTCCATTATTCTCAAATATAATTGATGTATAATTAATAAATCACTCATTACCCGAGAACTTAAATTAAATCTTATATCTCTATTTTTATACAAATCCATAAATGCTGGGGTTTTGGGGTTTTGGGGGATCGGAAGAGCGTCGTG